GAGGGTAGAGTCAGCTGCTTCATACTCCCTTCATACCTTGCCCTGGACCCAGAGACGCCGTCCCCATTCTTTCACCATTTCCCCCTCCCCTGACTTCCCGCTGCGGCCGGGGGAGGTTGGGGCTCCCCCTCCCCAAATGCCCAATGTGGTTACTTTGGGATAAATTAATAGTTAGTACTTATATCACATTAAATTGATAGGATTGTGCCTTTTTGGTAACATCTTTCATTCACCGTTAATTGCCTTTTTTAAAAGGCCTGGCTTTCTCTTTAATGTCTCCATCGCATTTTCACCTCTTTCCTGCGTGTCCAGCCTCAGCCTGCTGTCCGTCTGGGCAACGTCCCCCCCCGCCGCGTGCTGGCCCACCGCCCAGGCGCCACGGTGGGACCCCTGACCCTCCGTGACACCCCCGCCTCTGGACCCCTCGGGTCCTCGCGGCGGCCACAGAGAACGTCCTCTGGCAGGAGCCTCTTGGGGGTTCGGTGGGTCATTTAGGAAGACCTGGTTCTCCTCCTTGGCCCTTCATCTCTCTTTCATCCATGGCCGATGTTGGGGGCAGTTTCCCCTAGAATTTCCAAGGCCCTGTTCCCACATTTCCTGGCATCCAGTGTCTTGCACTTGGGTGCGTTTGGAACCCTCCTTTTGTGCTCAAGTTTCCCTGTGGTGTGCGTGAGGCTGGTCCTGCTATGTTGGGCGCCCCGGGGTCCTGTCGTCTGAAATTGTCCCTTAGACACGGGGCCTGCTGTGGCTTGTCGGGTGCTGTCTTCCCTTTTGCTTCGTGGACCTTTCATTCTGGATGAGCCGTGGGTCAGATACTCCAGGGATGGCCAAATATGGTTCTGTTCTCTCTTATTTTCTCCTAACTCTCTGTATTTTTTTAAAAATCTACCTTCTGGGTGATTTCCTTGAATATTTTTCAACTCTTTATTTTTCTGTAAAAAATTTGCTTCTCCTGTTTTTAACTTCCCGAAGCTCCTTGTTGTTCTGTGACTTTTCTTTTCATAAACTTAACATCTTTTTCTTGAGTCACGGATGAAATACCTTCTCTCGCTTTCTGAAATATTAATTATCATTATTTGAAAAGTTCTCTTTTCCCCTGTAATGTTGCGCTTTTCTCTCATTCCAGTTTTCTGTCTGTTTTAGTGTCTCTCACAGTGGGAGTTTTCTTTAACTGTGTGATGATCCTCAGCTGTAAATCCTAATTAAGTGAAAGATTAAAATTTACGGACAATGTTTTGGTGGGTGAATGGGGCCTGTTGGCTGGTGGAATTGACCACACAGGGACCTGATGGGAAGCCAGAGTTTCCATTTGGAGGCCCACGTCATAGGGGGTATTTTTCTGTTTTTCAGAGGAGAACGGAAGGGTGAGGGTAGGTGGGGGGAAGCCCAGCCCCTCTCCTTCCGGAGGAAGGTGGGAGGAGGGCTCAGGGGAGCCAGCCAGCCATCAGCTCTCCTGTCTTCACCCGGGGCTCCGCTGGAGCCTGCACTGCTCTGGCTTCCCCTAGTTCAGCTCGTTCTCTGGTGGCTGGAGAGGGGCTGGACTGCGTGTGTGGGCACCTGGAGGGGCCGCACTGGGTGAAGGCTTCCAGCGGCCTCGCTCCTGCCCTTGGGGCCCCTGCAGGCACCTCTCCGGAGGCGGCCGGGTCCCCGACTGCCAGCTCTTCTGAGAGAGCCGTGTATCTCACAGAGACACGCTGCAGCCTCTTTCTTCTGTGCTCACCCATCCTGTTCTTTCTGTGCCTGTGGATTTTTACTGTAGTCGCTCTGTCCACTCAAAACTTGACCACGTGCACCGACGGGACGGTTTCATTAGACACGTGGCCGTGTTGCTTGGGTGCAGCCTGGGCGCCGGTGGTTCTTCGGGCTGAGCAGGTGAGCAGTGCTGAGAGCTCGTTAGACGTGCGGTGTCTGTGTGCGTGCGTGTGTGTGCACACACGTGTGTTTAAAGGCGCAGCAGAAATCCACGGAGAATTTGGAGCAGAAACCTTGTTATCAAGTGTCCTGAGGTATAACTGGTATACAAAGCCCGCGCACATTCAGGGCACACGGTTTGTTGCGTCTGGACACTTGTACACGCCTGTGAGCCCCTCAGCACGGTCAAGGTCGTGGACACCCGCGTCTCCAGGAGGTTCCTCACGCCTGTTTTTGTGGGGAGAGCACCTCGCGGGGCGCAGACAGCACCGCTGAGGGGGCGCCCCCTGCAGTGGGTCTCGGGGACACCACCTCACCACGGGGAACCTGGAGGAAAGCCCAGGTGCTGAGAGGAATGCGACTTCCGGGGCTCCGGCCCCTAGTCCCCGACGGCATCCCTGCAGTCTGCATACGGCCCCCGGCGATACCCACGCAGGCGGTTTCTGCCCCTTGGCTGGTGTGACTTTACCGGTTTGGGTCCTTGTAATTCCTGTCCAGGCCTGCCGGGTGACGGCCCAGGGTTTGAATGCCTGCCCGGAGCAGTCCTGACCCGCACCCCAACTCCGGCCCTCCTGCCGCAGCCTCGCCCGCGCCCGTGCTCACGAGCAGGGTTGCATGCGGTGACGGCCCCGACATCCGGGGCATTGACATCGCCTGCCCTTGAGCACGTCTGTCCCATCCACTCTGGCCAGTGTCCTCCTCGCGTGCACTCGGTCCACCCTGCCGGCTGCCTGGGAGGTGAGAGCAGAGACACGGGGCCCACGTGTGTGCTGCGCCCTCTGTCCGGGCAGCGGCTTCGGGGCCTCCACCCTTCAAAGCCAGAGGCACCGAGCATCCTTGGCCTGCGGGGAGCTGAGCAGGGAGCACCAGGACTCACAGACAGGATTCGCCCAACCTTCACGGGGAGACGCCAGCAGGCACCGGACCTCTGCGTTCCTGCTACCACCACCTGTGAGCAGCATCCCCGCACCCTCGTGGGACCGGCCGTCCTGGCGACACGACGTGGTGGGGGCGGCTGTTAGGAGGTGATGTGGCCTCTTCTGGGGACTAAGCTAAGGTGGCTTCGCCAACGTGCCATTGGACTGAACATGTAGTAACGTCCTGACACTGAATTGCCATCTGCATCTCACAGTGGAACAGCGTTATTTCCTGTTTAAACAGCATAGCTCTTCACTTGTCCACGAGCCTCGGGGACCGAGGGGGTCCAGTCAAAAGTGGCGTATTGATTGGAGCCCACCTGGCTTCCTCATGAGGCCGACGAAAGTGATGACACAGGAAAGAAGGGCCCAGAGAGCAGAGGATGGTCCAGGAACAAGAGCAAAACTCAAAAAAACCTTTATATTTGGAAATAATTCCAAATGTAAGAGTTAGGAAAAGAAAACCAGGACCCAGAGTCAGAGGGTGCTGTGTAGACGGAGGATGCCGTGTAGACGGCGGGTGCTGTGTAGCCGGCAGCTGAGGCTCCTGCTGTACAGGGGTCTTTCCCTCGGCCCCGCCCACTTCCTCTCACAGAGATGCTCATTTTGGTCACGTCTTTCTCGGGTGTAATTACTCTTTCGCATCCCTTGGGGCTCTGCGGGGATTCTTTTTTTTTTTTTTTAACATTTTTATTGGGGTATAATTGCTTTACAATGGTGTGTTAGTTTCTGCTTTATAACAAAGTGAATCAGTTATACGTATACATATGTTCCCATATCTCTTCCCTCTTGCGTCTCCCTCCCTCCCACCCTCCCTATCCCACCCCTCCAGGCGGTCACAAAGCACCGAGCTGATCTCCCTGTGCGGGGATTCTTTAAAACCACTCAGATGTCCTCATCAAAACCCCCCCAGCTTTAGCACCCATCGACTGTTCTTGTCTGATCCCACGTTTACGACAGTGATTAGACCATAGTCTTAACTATGGATAGGTAAGCCAAGGAGCGTCCCTCTGGAAGTGGGTGTGTCGGCTTTGGAATCAGAAGGGATGCAGATTTACAAGGAGCCCAGGATGTGAAGTGTGTGTATGTGTGTGTGTGTGTGTGTGTGTGTGTTTGCACAGTTGGACATCAAGGGCTGGGAGAGATGAGTGTCAAACATGGTCCCAGGGTTTCTTGTCTCGACGTAGTGGCATCGTGAGGGCGTGGAAGGGAAGGGAATCATTATTCTGGAGAAAAACTTCTGCATTCATTGAACATGTTTACTAGAGCCTGTTGTATACTCAGCAGACCCTGAGCTGGTCGAGGGCAGCGTTGAGACTGCAGCGTCTTTGCAACACCCGCTTCTCCCCTCCACTGCCCGACTCATTTGCTCCAGAGGGGCGTAATGCATGCTTCCTGGATGAGAACGTTGGGGTTTGTAATCAGGGAGGTCTGGGGAATGGTTGCAGCCTCATCGGTAGAGGATTTAAGATGGAAGTTCAGCTTTTCCCCTAATTGAGTTGAGAAGGCATAGTCACAAACTTCCCACAGAGATCTCTTCAGTCACGAATTCTTTTTAAGTCTGCGCTTTGCAGTTACCTTACAGCGCTGACGTTTCTTGGGAAAGCCATTTTTCGTTATTTTCACCTTCCTTTTGCTTATCAAATAAGATATTTCCTTCACCTTTTACTACCGAACTGTGTGTGTAAACGCAGGCTTTTCTTGCACATTTTCTTTGTGACTCATCCTTGATAAAAGCGTCTTGGCTTAGATCCTAGAAGATGGACCCAAGGAACTGCCCCATGAAGCCTCCCTTTTCAGGCTCTAATTGCATCTCGTATTTTAAAGCCATCGCAGAATTGGTGGGCCCATTTGCCTTCTTGTAGACATCCCCTGAGTGCAGCTTTCAAGGTGCTTTGAGGACCCATTAGAGACATACATTAAACAGAACTCCATTACCGTCCTAGGAGCAGCATATATAATCAGCACACTTACCTAATCTGATTAACCTCTTTGATGAAAAATGTATGTATCAGAATTTTTCAGTACTGTTTAATTTGTTAGATCGTTCTGGGCATGTTGACTGTGCAACACTGAATGGCCTTATTAGAAAAACACTTGCAACGGTTAATGAGACGCCTTTCTCCACCTGAATGATAACCACATGTCTTTTATTTATTTGTTTTGAAACAGGTTTTGCCCGGCATTCTGCAGAAGCATTGCTGTATCTTACCAGACAGGAACACAGGTAAATGCATTTTGTTCTTCTGGTTTGAGATTCTTGGTGTTATATCCGTGCAAAATTGAGAAATGTGATTGCATAATTTAGATATCTTGGTTTTCTAAGGTGGTTGTCTTATATATTGACTGAAACAAGCAAAAAACAAACGGATGATTCAGTTCTACAGTGAGTTGTGACTGGAGCTCAGAGACCTGTTTTTATTTGAAGAAGGAAATAGATTCAGATGATTGTTGCCTTGGATTTTGAAGGGAAACCGGTCGTCTTATAAAGCTGAATATCTTAATTTCAAAGTTGTTTCCTTTGTGGATGGTATTTATTAAGGCAAACCACATTGTTGGCTCGCGTGGCGTGGCTTTGGGGCCTGTTTGCAGTCAAGGCTTTCCTTGCAATCAGGGTAGGAACTGGCCAGGTATCATGTTCTTCAAACCTCGAGGACCTCAATGAATCAAACAATAGGATGGATATCTTGAAGTGGGAGATTTTCTGACCCTGTGATTTCTCATTGTCAGGCAGATGTATGTGGTTAGAGGTTGTAAGTAAGGTGGTTTGCATTACTTTTAAGGAAACACGATGGAGGGAAAAAAGTCTGAAAAAAGATCCTTTGGAACTTTGCTGTTTTCAAGTTAAACAAAGAGAATTGTTTATGTGAAGCGTGTTATCCTGTGGATCTGGGTCTCACTCGCTCTAACTTAAAGTGTTTTATTCAGAGACTCAAGTCCTGGGGAAAAGATCGAGAGGCTGCTTCTTTTTTGCACAGGGTTTTATCAGAGTTTATTCATTTCTAGAATCAGTTGTGTCCTGCCAAGTATGTCTGTCTGTGTCCCAGGATACTTTTGCTGGCTATGAAACAGAGGCTTCTGACATTTCCTTATGTGTTTTCTAGCTAAACAAAATGAATCATAATGGGCTCTTCTGTGATAATTAGAAGAATGTAATCTGTTGGGAATTTCTCTACTTTTATCATAAACAGCATCTTGACTTGCTGGTTTGTTCACCGGGGTCCCATTCGTAACTTACAAGGCACTGTTTTATACCATGCAGTCCAATGTAAAACACCGAGTATTTTGGAAAAATAAGATCTTAGTTTTTTTTTTAAACTTATGATTATGGATAGATTATATTACCGACTCTATTATTTTTCAAAAAAGTTCATAGACCTGTCTCTGTTTTGGTTCTGCCCGATCAATTACGTCTCAGCTGCAAATGTGAACAAATTCACTGCTTATAGGGAAGTTTGTTTAGAACGTGGTTAGATATTTTTTTGAGCCTCTTTCTATTTTCTGAAAGTCTTGGTTAGTAATGAAAATATGAACAAGTCACATGTGAAGAAACAAAGATTTTGCAAACTGTGTCTGTCAACAACTGTGAGTATAACACAATTTAAAGTTGGAATGCATTTTCCAGATAAGTTTCTCTCTTCCAGGTGAGTCATTACTGATTCTGAGAAGCATCAAAAATCATGATAAAATCAATTAAAAGTTAAGTACTGTTCTGTGGGGATCTAAGTGCATTTTAAATATTGAAATGCGTTTTTTCTATTTTTAGACAGTTTGTTGTATAAGAAGTTTCAAGTTCATATAGCAGATATTTCCAAATTGAGACACTTTATTTGCTTTCCATAAGAATGCAGGTAACCAACCTCTAGAACCAAGAACGCTGCCTTCCATTATGACTTGAACATTGATGCCATCCACTAGGCAGATTCCTTAAAAATATTTTTATGTAACAGTGTTTCACTTTGAAGTCACTGCCGAGGACTTGAGGCTGTGACCTTAGGTGTGGAAATGGGAAAGAATCATATTAAATGGGGAGAAAGAGGAATTGGCTGAAATTACAGCTTTTAGAGGTGAAAGATGTGAGAATTTTAGTTTTTCCCACATAATTTGATCTAATTATTTAGGAAATGTTTGGAAATTTCTTCAGACTCAGACACAGTGGTATTGCTTTTGCATTTTAATGGCAAATAGGGTCCTTAGGAACTTGAATGCCATTTGGTTTTACCTTAGTGGTTTTATAGAAGACTTTTCAAGTTTTTGGTTAAGAAGATCAGCTTTGGGCTGTGTAGAGGGTTTCATTCTGGGATGATACAAAACATTCTGCAGGTGGATGGCGGCGCTGGTGGCACTACAGTGTGAATGTACTTGACGCCACTGAACTCAACACTCAAAAATGGTTAAGATAGTAAATTGTACGTTACATGTAGTTGACCACAATTTAGAAAAAAGATCGACTTTGGGATGAATCATGGCTTTTCGTTTTGTTTGATTTTTACTTATTTTAGAAGTACTGTATGCTCCAGTGACTTACGTATGTTGTAGCTGAATGTCTGGAAGAAGACCCACCTGTTTTCTGGTGTCTCATTGCTGATACGCTCAGCGGGGCTGCGGGGAACTGTAATGAGGCCGCCCTGCTCTGGGGTCAGCTTGGCTGCTGTGGGACACAGAATTCATCCTTTCTCCTGCTATTTCGATACCTGTGATCATTTTGGTTCATGTGATGTGAAGAACCAGACTGAATTCTGTTGAGCACCTCTGTAGATGACCTTATTTTTCATGTTTTTCTTGGAAACACTGGGAGTTGGGTGCATAAAGCGTGTCTGTTGTGAAGGAGGAAACTTCCACGCAAACACACACACACACGCACGTACCAGCCCCACCACAGACACACACACACACACCTGCCCCATCACATGCACACGCCCCATCACCACATACACACACACACACACACCTGCTCCATCAGACACATACACACACACACACACCTGCCCCATCACACACACACACGCACACACCTGCCCCATCACACACGCACGCGCACATGCACGGACCCGCCCCGGGCTCTGAGCTTTTCTTCCCGTTCACGTCGCCTTGACTCTCTTCCCTTGTTCTGGTGGCTCAGTCGGCCTCTTCCCTGCTTTTGCTCCCGGCTCCTCAGACGTGGCAGTTGGGTTTTTTGGTCTTTTTGTATCTTGTCCAGAATTTGCCCCAACTGCACAAGCATGCAGTTATTTTCAGTGCTGTACAGTTTCTTTGTATCTGTTGCTTGAGGAGACGTGTGTCCAGGTGCAAGCCCTGCAGCACAGGGGCCCAGCCTGTCTCAGTATGACCTTTGTCAGAACGGCTGCTGAGAGGCTGTCCCTGGGTCCTGACCTCCTTCACCCCCTGTCTGGGAGGAGCTGCCTCCGAAGGGCCAGGAGCTGGGGTGGCCCCTCGCTGCAGCGGGAGGCTGGCAGGTTGGTTCATCTTCCCTCTGCCGCTCCACGTCTCACGGGTTCGTACACGACTTACATGTAACGACCATCACGTGACGCGTCTGCTGTACCTCCCGTAGGAGAGAATGCAGACTGTGAGCCGTGTTTCCCAGACGGTGTGCCTTCGACCAGTGAAGGGGCTGGGGCTCCTTAGTCCTTGGTGGTCTGGATCCCGTATCGGCTTGTCAGTGCCGTTCCCTCGGAATCTCCATGCCATTTGGGACAATCAAGCCTAGGCAGGAGTGAGCTTACTAAATTCTGTTTTCTTTGGGCAACACAGTGGGCTGGGGTACTGCCCCTGTGCTTAGTGGTCTCACAGCATCTACTCCCCCGTCTATCAAGACACAGCCTACTCGGCTGGTACAAATAACTGGAAGTTACGAGAGTGACTGATTTTGCAGTAAAGCAGCAGGGGTACTTACTTATGCAGACTTTCATAATAACAGCTAAATAATGAGGCGTCAAGCAGGTTAAGCACGTGGCAGTATTTGACTTTTGAGATACATTATATCTCCACAGGGAAAGCAGAATGATTGCGAAATAAGCTATATATAAAAACCGGGGGGAAAGATTTTAAGTACTTTCCATATATTCTATGTCACTGATCTTTGCCTGTTTGCCCGCCTGTGGCGTGGTGTCCATGAAGACTCAGTGTTACTGACCTTGGGTTCCCCCCAGTGATGTGCTGGCGGCACTTAACCTCCAGCCTCAGGCGCCTGGTGCGAGGGGGGCGGGAAGCCGCGTGGGGTGTTGGCCCATGTCTGGGGTGTACACACCTCGCCGTGGTTACTGGACATGGGTTCGGGAGGGGTCCTCACTGTCCCCAGGCGCCAGTAGCAGACAGAATGCCAGTGGTCTGAACCTGGTGCCAGTGGTCAGAGCTAGCGAGCCTAGCTCTCGCCTTCACTTCTGTGTCCAACTCCTGAGGGGTTAATTCAGGGGCCGTGGTCAGCCTGTGCTCCCTCCGTGGGGGCAGGCTGTCCCGTTGTGTGTTGGCGAAATAAAATCTGGGATTAAAATTGAACGTTTGCAATGGGGCGCTTAGTTTTAAAAAGCTACATAGTAAGTACTCTTGCATTTGTATTTGGGGGCTGAGTGTGTGTGCTCCGTCATGTGAGGGTTCAGACGCCTTTGGGACACTGGACCCAGTTACACAGTATTGAATGGTGAGCAGGGCTGTTGCCATGTGGACGGCCATGGGAAGCTTCATATTGAGGTCAAAGGCAGAGGGGACATAACTGTTGAAATCGTGGGAACGGCTGCTCTGAGGAGTCCTAAATCCCCTAAGTTTCTTTTGTGCCAAAGGTTATAAAAAGCCTTTAATGTCACATGGACAAGTGAAGGAAAATCAATGAGTATGTTTGCTCCCTTTGCTGCAGACCTGTCTGAAGGAGAAATTGTGCCCAATGACGGGTCCGGTAAGAGTTTGGCAGTGAGTGTATCTGGGGAAATAAAACGCTGTTTCATTAATTTCACGCCTAACTTACGTGTGATTCTTAGATCTGTGTAGACAGTGATGTGACCTGTGTTCAATTTAAGTTCTCACATGAATGGTGGACGTCACACCTTGTGTTTTTGCAGTGTTTCTGGTTTATAAGGCTCTTTTATATATAGGCTAGTCCTACTGATTTCTTGTGAGATAGGAAATACTGCCCCCGTTTTGCACATCAGTAATTAGACCCAAAGCTGTGTGTGAATTTCACTGTCACACAGCTGCTGAGTATTTTGCTGAGACCCAAATGCAGGTTTTCAC